AAACTTGCAGCAGAGCAACAGGTCTACCCTCCCTTCTATTTATCTTTTCAGCTTTGATCTCTGTAAAAAGATACATTATGAAAGCATCAGTGCCTGCAGGGCACAAAACAGCTGCCACATTTCGTACTTTCTCCTTCAACTAACTTCCAAAAAAGTTAAGCATTCTGTCATGCCGAAACTCCTTAGCCAACCAACCAGCAGCCAAAGCTGTATTAAAACAAGTATCCTGAAGCATTGCTTACAGACTCAGTGGTACCACTAAACGCCAAATAATGCTTTTGTTGACTCACAATGAATATATTTTAGTTACCTATTAATATAAGATAGTCAGTCTACCAAACTTTTGCTAACAGCCCATACTTTAGTAAAAGAGAATATTACTAAAAATCCCCAACTCCTCTAGCAACACTACTCTACACAGTTAAAAACAGCCTCGGTATTGGGCCCTGGGTAAACAAACTGTTTATACTTGAATATATAGACAATTTAAATCACATCCCATTGAATGCTGCAGCTAGCTTAAATTTATTCTCCAAGTAACCATAGTATAAAAAAAAACCAGCCTAGGCAACAACACGTTTGTGTGTGCACACACACCAATACATGACCTTCAGTTAAAGTCATTCAGTCCAATTCTGAGAATAAAAAAATAGAAGCAACTCTTGCAAAAGGAGCATATAAAGAATTGGGAGAAATATTTCCATTTTTCTGAGTTATTTATTTTTCTGAAGAACACTAAATGGGGAAAGACATACGCAACATGAAGGCCTCACCAACCTTATTATGTCCAGGTTTCCCTAGCAGCCTCAAAAAATGGAATTCCTAATTTGTTCTCCTCAAAGTTACACGGGATTAGTTGGGTTAGGGGAGGTGGGAAACATCTCCAGGACTTCTCTTCAGCTGCAAATGTATGTTTACCCTTTAAAAAAACCCTTGCAAACTAAAGATACTACTGTTCCTGCTTCTTAGTTATTCCCAGGGCAGTATAACAAACTCACCTGAAAACAAGTATGATTGCTCATCTGCTTCACTACAATACTGGCATGCTTGGCTTGATCATCAGTTACGATGCTGACTGAACATGGAAGCAGGCTAAGGAGCCTCCACACATTCTACTCCCGGGCTGAGCTGCAGGACAGTAACCTCCACCTTGTGTGTGTTTTGGATATTTTTAGCTGAATTCTGACAAGAATGTATATGTGTACCAACTTACAACTTTAGCACTAAAAAAATCCTTTAAGATTAAAAAAAGTATAGAGTAATGTAACGACACAAATTTAAAAGGCTGCTATAGCCAAAGTGAACTGGAAGCAGGAAGAAAAAAAAAAAAAAAAAAGGTGATCTTTTGATCTTTCATACCTTAGCTCTTAAAATAGAAGTTAAGTATGATGCCATGCCTGTAAACCAACTCCAGTCTGTCTTAGTGGCTGTACTTACCTCTCTAGATAACTAAGATTCAAGGACAAAAAGATCAAGCCAAGTCAGGGTGTAGCTGGCCCAATTACCTTTGAAGATAAGGCATTCATGATGGAACAATATTTGCATTTTTATGAAGAACAGCTACACAGAAGTGATCTCTAAGAAACTGGAGGGCACTGGCAGACAGAGAAATCATTGTGATACTATTAGATGAAGAACACAAAAATAAAGTAAACTCTTCTTTACTAGGCAAGTCTGCTGACATTTCGAAGACTGGAATATAAAGTATTTTAAGCAGGGAGATTGTGGCACTAAACGGGAATTCAGTGCCGGACTCTATGTAAAGGAATGCAGGGAGTCTAACTTTGTGTTAGACTTAAAAACATTAGGATGTGCTCAGGAGAACACCTTAGTTATAAGAACACTGTACCTAAGAAAAAGTTTATAACCAAATCAGCAATAGTTACCCTAGTCGTCAGTTGCCTTGGACCATTCTCTAGAATTGGCACTTCTTTTAAATATGAAAGCCTATCTAAATACCAGAAAAGGGTAGTGAAGTATCTCGTGATGTAACTCGCCCTTAAGTTACATCAGAGAATTTAGCTTGAAGGACTGGAAGTGCCCTGAAGTTCAACAATGTTTAATCTGCTCTGCGCCGTACAGTTGACATGGTCGAGTAGTGCACACAGCATATTAGAGAAGTTCCAAAGATCTTTGCTGAAGCAACGTGACACTGACCTATGAGCATTTTTTCCCTGTCAAGTATCCAGTGACATTCAAGAGGCCAAGGTCAGTGCAAAAGCATGTTAAAACTCTTTCATGATGACTGACAGCATATAAATTGTCCCAGAGGCTACTGTAGCAATAACAATGAAAAACCAAGGAAAGGTTTCTGTTGCAGCTGATTCATATAAAACTTTAGTTTTATTGAATCTTTTTTATTTAATTCAGAGTTCAACTCTCCATTTAAGAAGTGACTATGCTGTAAACATATCAGTAATTAATACGCAATTAAGTAATATGCAACATATTCTAAAAGCTCAAACTGTATTTTAGTATGTTTTGACTATTTCAAATACCTCACATTGAACGTTTCTGTTTAATCAGTATCTATTGTACAAATAAAGCTTGTGTACACAGTACAACCTGTACTGCACAAAATACAGACCTGGATGTCATTTAACTTCTGTTTAACCTGAACTTTCTAGTACTTCTAATACTTTCTCCTTACATCTTTTCAAATTGGTTAATCATGATTTAATGAGTTAATCATAATAATGTTCTCCACAAGTGCTCCATCATTAGAGTTATCTACATAAAACCAGTCTTATCTACTAGTCAAAGGCAACTGCTGCTACCTATCTTTTGCCTGGAGCTCAAGCAGTTTTAATGTCATAGGTACATTACCACACTGTACAAATGCAAGTTAAATGTGTTTTTTCCATCCTCTGAAAGAACATGGAAATTTTATTTGGCTAGTAATTCAATCAACTAAGGCTTTTAGCAAATCATGGTTTTTCCAAAGGAATTACATCTTTGTTACCAGAATACATTTTTACTGTTGAAATCTATGACCTTGCTGAGATACATCCAAACTTTAAATACAGGAAACCTCACAGCTATAGATATTAATCTGAAAGTTACCTCATCTTACATTTGGATAAACTGCTTATGTCTTTTGGAGGTACTATGAAAGAATGCAAAATAATGCTAATGTTACAACAGAAGCAGACAAGAGGTGGAAATTTGAAATCAAAAAGAAAGAAAGAAAGGTGGTTTTCCTACATCTAAGCATGCAGGTGCACACAAAAGTGACCAAATTCCCCATTTTCTCTATCCTGAAAAGAAGAAATGTGAAAGGAATCCTAAAAAATCTGTATCTTATTTGGAAATACAACTTTTAAATAAATATTCCACTAGTCTTCATGGAGAAGACACCGAATAAAATTATCTAAGAGCTGACAAGAGAAGCACTTTCTACATCTTTCTCCATCTTAAAAAAAAACAAACCAAAACAGCAGTTACATAATACAGATTTGAGAAACGGTAAAGAGGACATTCACATAGAACATTTTTTAGGCAGCTCATGGATAACAGCGAGTGAATAAGGCAAGAAGAAAACTGGAGCTCATGCACCAAATACAGCTCTTCTGCCAGTGGTCTTAATGTGCAGGAATTGAAACTAGCACTAATGAGAGCACCAATTACTTCACATATGGAAGAGTTTAGGAACAAGAGAATTTTGAAACTAAATTCTGAAATAAAAAGCATTACAATATGCCTATATACAACCTGTATGCTTACACATACAAGTGAGCAGGAACGTTCCAACTGTGCCATCTTTTACTTAATGAATACAGTAACTCCTGACTGAACTCGTCAGTCATCACAGATCACATACCAAGTTCTGATAAGTCTCCTCCACTTTCAAACCATGTATACAGTTCAAAAGTAAGTACCATTGAGTACTTTAAGATCTGTCTTAAAAGCTACTGTAATGGGATGGAGGGGAAAGGGGGAGAAGGAAAGGGGGTAGGAGGAAGTGGGGAGAGGAGGCGGACTGGGACAACAAAAAGGTAAAAAAACCCAAACCACCCAACACCAAAGATTTCAAAACCAGGCATATAAACTCAGAGCCCCTTCCCCTATACCTAGATAATATGCAGACAATACTTACCAGTCTTTTTACTTTGCATTTTCCAAATACACATACACATGCTTAGGCACGGTACCCAGTATTTGCTTTCAACTCACATGTAGAGCTTTTGTATTTTACTACATAGTATGCAAAAGGTTCTTTTGCCTGAACATGGAAGACTGCCTGAAGATCAGAATTAATTTGAACTTCAGCTTCTTTAGTTTGGGCACACCTTTAATCAAGGAGCAAAATAACCGAATATGCTGTTATTGCACTGGTTGATAAAGTATTTTATGGCTACTTCTCCGGCAAGACAAAAGAATGATCCATTCAACACTGGATCATAATTTTTCCCCAGGAACAAGAGTTTTTAGGATACAAAATCAAATTAGCCAAAACAAGCCAAGTTTCAGTGCAACCAGCAGGGCACTGGTGACTCTTGGCAACATTCCACACCTCAGCCCAATTGTGTTGATGACAACTTGCTAAGGTGGGAATGGCCATATCACACAAACAGGAGAATTAAAATAATTAGTGAGCACTGAATTGGGGAAAGTGGGGAAGAAGAGGGAACAAATCTTCCTTTTCATTTCTGCCATATATAAACAAACATTTCACTTAGACATACTGCAGGCAGGCAGTAGCTGCTAGTGTAACCACTGTCCTACATAACACATCAACTAGAATGAACGCTCAGACATTCAAATTGGAAGTATACCAACAGTTGAGAATTTTTTTAAAACAAATTAATAAAAAAATCTTTTTCTTTTTCTTTGAAACAATTAGTTTTCAGGCAAGTGTCATTTATAGCAGACAATAATGAAAAGCAGAAGTTATTTATGAAAACAAAATTTGTGCTTCAAGTCTTGAATAATAAGATGTGTATGTACATAAAAAAGTAAATACATATAACATGCATGTGTATCACCAAAAAAGAGCTTACAGTTCTTTGTGCTTCTCCTCTGCCAAAATTTGGTCGTTTGGCTTCAGCCCATACCTTGAAAAACAAGACAAAATACAAAGCAGTTACTCCTTTGAGAACATAGCTATAAAATGTTCTTTTATGGTTTCAAACTGGCAAATTATTAAACTACATAATATTTGTTGATTCAGGTACCTCAAGTTATTGCAAAGGCAGCAACAAGGTTTCCTAAAAAATTCAGGTTATGTTTATTAGAGTAAATTTAACGTCACATAAAGCATCTGCTTTATATCACAGCTTCAAATTATATCAAGCACTTTAGCTTGCTATATACTCAAAACCATTGCACTTCATACCACAAACTGTATATAGATCTTATCATTTGGATCTGACAAAAAATGACAGCGAATAATACAGACAATACAAACATTAAAACTGACTGTAGTATTTCCACCTGTACCAAATAAAACTATTATAATCAATACTAAAAATGTTCTATAGAAAAAACACATTTTCAGAACAGGCTGTTTCAGCAAATTTCTGCAGTACATACAGGCAACCTCTGATCAAAGTGAGAGCTTGAAAGAATTAAAAAAAACCTTTTCTTGGCTAGCTTAACCTATTAGGCAATTTAACAGAATAGGTTGCCTACGCTACCTGAATCAGAGGGAAAAAGGAGCCCAGTCTGCCCCAGCACAGGCTACTCCTAGCCGTGCTGCAGACTGCACTGTCACTCAGGAAAACCTTTAAGAAGTGACCTCACTTTCACTCTGCCTCAGAGCAAAATCTTCTGTCATCTCAGAATATTCCACAAATCTAACTGCTATGGTTTTCTGTAGGGTTTGGATTTTGGGGTTTGGGGGTTTCTGGACTGATTGATTTTTAAGGGAGTCATATATAACATAAGCAACTAAAAGTCAAGTGTCCATTTGCTATTTCTGCAAACAGCTAACAGCTCACACTGCACGTTTCCACTGTCCCTTTGCCCTGTTTTTGTTCCTTGCTCCAGTCAACTGCAGAACTATAAATTACTCCTCCTGAGGAAAGATTCTGGTCACAAGCCAACTACAATCAAGCTATCTTGCAAACTGATTTTTTGTTTCAAATAAGCAGAAAAAATGTATGTTTGCTATTCCTAACAACATTTTCTGATGACACTCTCTGAAACATTTTTTTTCAGCATCCATTTAAAATACAAGCATCAACCCATACACATTCTCAAGCTCACTAGTGCAGCTCTCATACATAAAACACTCATTTTTCTTGTTTACTTTGCAAGGACTGCCTTAAGTTATTTGCCACAGTATCATGCTGACTTGCATCCATTTAACCACTTCACTGCTAACTCCTTCTTGTAGTCACTTCTAATCAGGCTACAGTGGGGTCCATCTATATTTTCTTTCTAAATGCAGGGTTCACATTTGGCTCTTACAGGACTGTAACACACTGTTCAAGAACAGATTCAGATCACTTGGCTTAACTGCAGTCTTTTTTTATAGTTCACCATCCTATCAGTCATTAACTCCCAAGTTTCAACTTCCATTTATTCCAAATTGGTGTTTTATGTCGTGAACAGTATCAGGCTATTTTTCTTCAATAAAAAGGGTTCAGCCCAATACCAGTCTTTTCATAATGCTGCTACACCTCCCTGATATCTCCATTTGTCATGTCTCAATAAGCATGTTATTGACAGAAAATATTGACATATAAGAGAAAAATCAAAGAGCTACCAGGAAATTCTGAAAGGGACATCTTTCAGAAGTTAAAGGACATTAACTCTTCTTATGCAACTTGCCATCTCGCTCAAAATGAAATCAGGCTGGTTTTTAAAAGTATTTGCCTGTCATAAGACAGATAAACGCTCGCTAATACGCAATGCATTTTGTAAATGGAGCTCATTTTGCCCATTGAAGTCACAACCCACATAAAGTCACAACCATTCTTCACTCATGTTACACGGCATGCTTTTCCTCTGACCAAAATCAAAACTACTTCAGCAAAGATTTAATACAATTTTATCTGCTGAGGCTACAGATATAATATCTATGTTTGAGTTCTTACAGCTCCCGGATTCCTCATTTCTTCAGTTAAGGGAAAAAAAAAAAAAACCAACACAAAACCAAAGCCACAATTTAACCCACAAAGTTTTCTAGAAGTTAAAAAAAAAAAAAAAGAAAAAAAAAGAAAAAGAAAAATATAAAACCCTTCACTACTTACTCATACTAGTAAGTCAGCTACAGCAGAAACTACATAAGATAATGTTAACTCTGTTTAACAAATGTGTGATTTTCGCCTTGGGTATGTTACAGACATACCACAGAAGGGTGTGGAAGGGACACAGTTGCTACCCCTGAGGTTTGCAGAATGGTTCCTTTGGTGAACCTTAGCTTACCTAATCTTTTTCACCACCATCCCCTTCCTTCACCATGAACACGGCGTTTTAAAATTATTCTTCCTTGACCCCTGAAGATACTGTTTTGACAGCAACTTGTCAAAGAGTATTTCCCACAAAGGAACATGCTTGTAGAGTTCAAATCAAATGTTTAGTAGTACTCCATGCATTAAGACAGGATTCATATTATATTTCATACACAGCTGCTGAATTATTTAATAAATTTAAATGTGCAACCAGCACAGTGTACAGCTTACATAATACTTCCCAACATATGTTTTGTAGGCAAGATTGATAAGCACCAGTTGGCTCTTCCTGACTGTTAGACTTCGGAGAACCTCTCTAAAAAACTTAGGAGCCAAAGATACTAAGTGCAAAATCAAAGTCACAGGGTTGAAAAATTTAAAATAAGGACATTTAAAACTATCTAAGCAACCAGAACAGTATACTGTACATGTATATATTTACATGCCTGGTATTGAACTAGTAAGAAACAAGCAAATATACCATGGAAATGGGCAAATGAACTAAAGGGACCACAGCCTCACTTTTATTTCCTATTTTCTGCCCTGTGAAATTCGAAGCTCTACACACCCTAGAATGTTAAAGCGATTACTCTTTTCAACTACCCCATACCAAACTGTGATACAGTTTCCAAATGTTAGCAGTCTTTTCATCATTGCTTAAGATGAGGTTAACCTGGAAGCATACACTGAGTTCTGCACTTAGCTGAAGTCCTCCCACCCAGCACCTGCTGGGAAGAGAAACCACAGTGGATGTTGTTCTGCCGGCGGGGATGTGTGGACAGTCTGGCACCAGCCTAGCCTCTGTTTTGATAAGATCAAAAGCAAATTAAGATCTTTGGCCTTGTTAATACGTTGGCTTGGACACATGAAATGCTAGCTTGGAATCTGGGGCACACGTTTTGGGAGTGGAATGCTTGGGTGACATGGTCTAGTGGAAAGTGTCCTTGCCCATGGCAGGGGGTTGGAACTACATGATCTTAAGATCCTTTCCAACCCAAACCATTCTATGATTCTATGATTCTAAGATCCTACTTCAAAAGTGACATGCAAGGGACTGCATCAAGACTGTAGCTAAGTGTCAAAACAAACTAGTAAATTTCAAAAATGATAGAATTGAACACTTTGTCATTCACAGTATCACAGTATCACAGTATGTTAGAGATTGGAAGGGACCTCAAAAGATCATCTAGTCCAATCCCCCTGCCGGAGCAGGAACACCTAGATAAGGTTACACAGGAACGTGTCCAGGCGGGTTTTGAATGTCTCCAGAGAAGGAGACTCCACAACCTCCCTGGGCAGCCTGTCCCAGTGTTCTGTCACCCTCACTGAGAAGTTTCTTCTCAAGTTTTAGTGGAACCTCTTGTGTTCCATTTTGTACCCATTGCCCCTTGTCCTATCACTGTTTGCCACTGAAAAGAGCCTGGCTCCATCCTCGTGACACTCCCCCTTTATATAGTTATATACACTAATAAGGTCACCCCTCAATCTCCTCTTCTCCAAACTATAGAGACCCAGCTCCCTCAGTCTTTCCTCATAAGGGAGATGCTCCACTCCCTCACAGACACTGATCTACTGGAAGAGTAGCCAGTGTTCCAGCCACCCCCTCCAAAATGGCAGCTGCACATAATCATGAAGATTGACAGAAGTGCGTCAACTACAGCAATTATCACACTCCACAGCTGCATACTGCCACCAAACTGGTGCAGCTGCCTGCCCAGATACACACACCCCAGCCTCTGAGCATCACAACCCACGGCTTCTGACAGCCCAACAGGCTGATTGTACCTTAGGTGAAACTTCCACTTTGGGAAGACAGCAGCTTTCTCTTCAAACTCAGTTCCTTAAGGCATTTCTTAAACCACAACATCTTGCAGTCTAGCCTCTAGACGTCATCGTACCATAGTTGCTCCAACATGCTCTCTCCTGAACAAAGCTCAAGTGACCTAACTGCAGATAGGAGCTAACAGATACCATTATTCTATCATCCATCCCCTAAACACAGTTTCAATGAGAAGCTTAACACTGCTTTACATTACCCTTTTCACTGTCAAAATAGGGTTTTTTTTAAACAGTATTCTTTCCAACCTGGTTACAAAAAGGCATGTTTAGACATTTAACTTGACAGACAAAAAAGCAAACTAATCCCCCTATGTTTCATCAGGAAACAAAAGCCCAACTCCAATTCACACACTGGAAAAAGCATCTCTCTGTTCTTTGACTACAGTGGGGCTTATACAGGATGTCTAAATTTGCCTGCTGAGCTAGATGATTTGAATGCCCCTATTAGTACCTAACTCCATAATTTCAGAACAATAACAAACTGGGAATACACTTCACTAAGAAAAATCTTTAAATGAATTTGAATTTTCAGGGGGGCTTTCAACTTCCCAAGACAGAGCTATCCTGAACCTCTCAATGTTTTTAACTCATTTGATGACTGTAACCGGTAACTCTACCAGAACTCAGATCTGAACATAATGTCATTTTCTTCCTTCTTAATTACATTTCCAGAAACAAATTTTATGTACATGCAGATATGCACATAATATCAAGCTTCGCCCCCCTACAGCATTAATTATAAATTCACAACTACATGAATCTTAGATCTTTTCCCTTTCCACAAGCCTGAAAATAAAGTAGCATGGACCCAGACTAAA